TGGGCTCTCAAGCATGGCAACAATTGTGAGGTTGGCCCAAGACCGGGCAGTGTTTCGTTCTTTGTGCATAGGGTCGCTATGAGTTGGTGCCGACTTGATGGCACTTGACAACAACAACAAATACCAACAACAACTAACCTAAAGATTGGTGGGTCTAACCCACCCAGCAGCATATGGAAGAAAGTCCAGTCAATCCGCTTCTATAAAGATCACAGCCAAGAAAACCCTATGGAGCAGTTGTACTCTGGGACATATTGGGTCACCATGAGTGAAAATCAATGGCTTTGCTTTGGTGTGGGTTCTTGTCCCCACCATTCCTGTGAGTAGACTCCTTACCTCTTTAGGCCACTGGTAGAGAGTTATTCATTAAAACCTAATCAATTGTTAATGGAATTTCAGTCAGTTAATGAATGAAGACCTCACTGGTACGTATGGTATTTTGAAGCAAGGTCATTAAACACAGATAAAAATCCCACAATGGCCTTACAGTTGGTTAATGTGACAAACTATAATCCCTATCCTGGTATTTTACAAAACACCAATCATTTCATTACATTATGTATTTACTGAGTCTCTCAAGTCTGCCAACCACCAGCATATTCTTATCATTTTTTAAAAAATTGATTAACTTTTAAAAAGTTAACTCGCTGCTCCAGTTTTCTTACCTGTCAATGGGACTGATATTAATATCTCCCTCATTGGGCTGTTGTGAGTTAACATTTTCAAAGAATTTCATACACTTAGCAGGCTCTTAGTAAGCAGGTACTTATGTGTTTGTTATGTTAATGAAAGGCAAGGCCAGGTCAAGTGCTGTGAAAGTTTAGAAAAAGAGAGATGGAGAAAAGGCTCACAGAGAAAGAAGATGCTCCGGAAGTAGATGCCATCTGTGCTTGTGGAGGGAGCTGAGAAAAGAGTGGACGCGCAGATGGCAGACAGAAGAAGCTGATGACCTTTGCCCTTATGGGTTATTCTCAGTGAAAACAGCCATTTTTTTGTGAATTTACTAGGGACCAAGCGAAGAGTTAAATGCAGTATCTTACTTAATCTTAATGCAACCCTTCAAAGCAGGTACTGTTTATAACTCATCCCCCCCCCCCCATTTCCTAGGTGGAAATACTGAGTTGTTGTCAGGTGCCATCGAATACTGAGTTGAGGAGGTTTAATAACTTCAGGTTTAATGATTTGTCTCTTTCTTCTACCCCTCCATCTCCCAGAGGTAACCACTATCCTGAATTTTGGTATAGTACTCTCTTGCTTTTAAAAAAATAATTAAATCACACATGTATGTATTTCTGAGCACTATATTGTTTAGTTTTGTTTGTGCGTTTTTATAAAGTGATATTCTATATATCGTTTTCTGCCACCTGTTTTTCTCACTCAGTACTAGTTTCTAAGATTCACCATGTCATTACGTTTTTCCTTTCTTTGATTGTGGTAAAATATACAGAACACAAAATTTTAAGCAATCCTACCTCATTAATTGCACTCATAACATTGTACAACCATCCCTACTATTTGTTTCCAAAACTTTTTCATCACCCCAAGCAGAAATTCTGTACCCAGTAAGCAATAACTCGATTTTTTCCCCCTACTTGTTGGTACAGTTTTGAAAAACGTTCTCTTTGTCAGATGAGAGAGTTACTTTCTACCTGACAGTTTTTCTTTTGTGTATGTGTGTGAAAATACACAGCAAAAATATGCCCATTTAACAATGGCCACGTGTGCAGTTCAGTGACATTGGCTACATTCCTCATGCCGTTTGTTCTCATTCTGTCTACTCATATTCTTTTTCACCCATTAACTTCCACTCTGTGTCCCTTAAAGTTCTGTTCTATGTTTGAGAGTTACTGATGTCAAACTGATGCCATCTAGATCATTCTTTAAAAGAACACAATGCTCATTCTTTATTAGTTGAGCTAAATTGTTGTTTTGTTTAAAGGTGATTTCATGGGACAGTTTCAGTTTAAAGTTTATTTCCAGGCAATGGGTGCAGTACTTCTCCCCATCTCAATAGATTCAGTAAGTCTGATTCCCATAAGAACTTCAAGTTCTGTTCCACATTTCTTCCCCCTGCCCCCTTTGATCAGAGCCATCTTCAGCTCTTGAACAAAATGGTCAGTAATAGTAGCCAGACACCGCGCAGTTTTTCTGGTTTCGCGGCAGGAGGCTAGTAGTTCATGGAGGCAATTAGACCTATAATCCATTTCCTTCTCCAATTCCAGGGTCACTTTCTTCCTCTGCTGCCCCAAGTGAATAAAAAGTAATTGTTGTAGCTTGGAGGACCACTGGAAAGCTTTCAAGACCCTCAGCACTACTCACCAACCAGGAGGTAGAACAGATATTCTAAAGCCATTAGGCCAATTGACTGGTTAAACCTACAAAACCACTACCTTAAACCTTTGAACCATGAAAATGAATTCCATGAACTGATGAATTGTACCAATAGTTGCAGCTTCTTTTTCTGGCTAAAATTTTACGTAACACTTTATTTTTCTGGTGTATGGTGTGGTATCAGCCACATTAGTCAAGTTGTTTCACCATTATCCTTAGTTGTTGACAATTTTCCCATCAACACAAAGCCTCACTACTTCCAGGGAATGATTCGTCCCTCCCTTCACTTCCCACCCCTGAATAACCCTTCATCTCCAGATATTTTACCTATTGCTATCATTTCTGGTGAGACCTACTATATGTCCTTTGGTAATGGACTTATTTCACTAAGCACGTCTTCAAAGTTCATTCATTTTGTTGAATGTATCAAGACCTCATTGCTCCTATTGGCTGAGTAGTATTGTTTGATGAAATGACATTGGTCATTTATGTTGTTCTTAGATGCTGTGAAGTTGGTTCTGACTCAAAGTGACCCTCTGTACAACAGAATGAAACACTCCCCGGTCCTTACCATCATTCCTATGTTTGAGAGACCAAGGTTGTTTCTTTCTTTTTTTCTATCGTGAATAGTGCTGTAATGAACATAGGTGTACATATGTTCATTCATGTCCTTACTTGTATGCACTAGGTATAAAATATGTCCTGATATGTATACTTTTTTTTTTTTTTTTAAGTTTTCATTTTGAATTGAGTGATAGTTTACATGAGGGAACATCAGTTTTACAATAATTGTTTCATTGCAATGATTACAATCTCCTCTGTGCATTACCATTCAACACTGTTTGCTTCTATTCCCTCTGGGTTGTTGGGGTTTTTTTTGTTTTTTGTTTTTGGTGGAGGGGGGATGTACACAAAAACACTCAGGAATATGTAATAATTTAAACAACCAAGTCTGCCTCCTGGCCACCAGCACCTGGCCACCGGCGCACAGCCTTTCTCTTTCTATAAGTCCAGAGTTCTCAGCTGCTCTATCTCTCCATGTCCTCATTTCTGTCTCCATCTCTGGTGTGGCTGCTTCTCTGGATAGGGTCTCACATTCTGCTCGTGCTCTTCTCCTTGATGGCCCTAGGGTTCTCTGTTCCTGGACTTTAAGATTAATTACTTCCCTCTTTTTGTTACAAAACTTCTACTTTTACAGTTGTGACAGTCGCAATTAGTCATGATAACAATTATTCACTATTGAATCATAAGAATCTTATTCCTATCTCCTTTCATCAGACCCATCTAGACAAGATGAAAACTATTCAGTGAGGCTTCTACCTTCCCCTGCACACTCTGAAACTAAACTCCCTCTTGAAAACTTGTAAGCCAATCACTTCGTGCCTTTATAGCCGCTCCCATTTTAGGTAGCCAATGTTTTAAGT